CTGGAATGCAAAAGTAGGAAGTCAAGAAACACCTGGAGTAACAGGCAAATTTGGCCTTGGAGTACAGAATGAAGCAGGGCAAAGGCTAATAGAGTTCTGCCAAGAGAATGCACTGGTCATAGCAAACACCCTCTTCCAACCAGTCACTTCAGTCGTGTTCAACTCTTTGCGGCCCCATGGACTGTAGCCCACCAGGCTCCTCTGTCCTTGGCATTCTCCAGGCAAGAATACTGGTGTGGGTTGCCATGCCCTTCTCTGAGGGATCTTCTTGACCTGGGGACTGAACGTGCATCTCTTGTGTCTTCTGCATCGGCAAGCGAGTTCTTTACCACTAGCGCCAACTGGGAAGCCTCCCAACAGGTGGGAGAGGGAGCTACTAATTCTGCTGGAGGAAGGGCATTCCAAGTAAAGGAATGTGTATGGTCCAGGACCTGCGGGTTGGAGCTGAAAGACTGTTCTTCATGGAAATTACTGGAGGTGAGGCAGGGTGGGGTGGGCTGGGATGAGGAATTTGGATTTTATGATGTCGGCCATGGGGATCCGTCAGAGAAATGTACGCAGTTCAGTGGTGCAGTCAGAACACCTGCCACTCACCGTGTGGATGCCTTTGCAAAGTTACTGCTTCTCTAGGGGATGAATCAGAGCTATTACAGCTTTCCAGTTTGCTGTGAGGCCTGTTGCCAGAGGAGGAACGGCTGATTCGTCGTCTCCTGTGGAGCAGACGTGTAAGAGGAAGATGTTTGTGCTGGAAACCTTAAGCTGTTATTTCCTATCTGATTTCCCCAGGTGGCTCAGCTCAGTTCAGTCGCTCAGCCGTGTCCGACTCTCTGCGACCCCATGAACCACAGCACGCCAGGCCTCCCTGTCCATCACCAACTCCCAGAGTTTACTCAGACTCCTGTCCATCGCGTCGGTGATGCCATCCCACCATCTCGTCCTCTGTCGCCCCCGTCTCCTCCCGCCCTCAGTCTTGCCCGGCCGGTATTCCCTTCCGAAATCTGGGCGTGTTTTCCCCCTGCCCCTCCGTCTTCCCCGCCCGCGCCTCCACACCTCCACTTTCTTTCCTCTTCCCTGCCCGCCTTCCTACTCGGGAACAAACGCTGTGTCCCGCAGATTAAGGGTGGGGCTCAAAAAATGGGAACGGCGGTGGCGAAGGGTCAATTCTCCATTCAGGGAAAGAATCTGCGCTTTGCATCCAGATTAAATGCTGTGACTATTTTCCTGGCTCTGGGGTTTCCCTCCTGTGGCTAAGACTTCCCGTTTCCATGGGGGTGGGGGCGTGCAGTGTGGGTTCCATCCCCGCTCAGGAACCGAGCGACCAAAACATGAAACAGGAACAGTATTGTAACACATTCTGTAAAGGCTTTTAAAAGTATCCATATTTTAAAAATTGGCTTTCTTCATAATCCTAGCAGAATTCAGCCTCCGCTGCGATCTCGGTGCGCCTTCCGTGCTGGCCTCCCGTGACGGCGGCCTGCGGCGGGAGGCCGGCTGGCACCGTCGGCCCGCCCCGGGCTTCGCCGTCCGTCCGCGTCCCTGCAGCCCGCGATCCGGGGGCGCGGTCCCGTCTCGGGTCACAGGGAGGCTCGTGCGCCCCCAAGTGGTCAGCAGTGGGAAAGGCGAACAGGTCAGAAAGCGCGTTCCACCTTCTCTCCTTAACGCAGGCTTGTTAACAGGAGCGCGAAGCTCTGCGCCCTGGGAACAGTCTAATGAGGACGCAGACGCGTGAACCGCTCTCCACGTTGGAAGTCTGAGAAGGGCCGCAGGAGATTATCAAGGGTAGCCATCCAGCCTCTGCCTGAACGTACTGTAAATTTTTTTTTTTTTTACGATTATTTCAAACACTCCCAAACATTTTCTCTGGTTGAACAGTTCCACCTGTTGTTTAAAAGTTTTTTGTTATGCAGAACAAAAATTTTCCCTCCCTCTAGCTTCCACCACTCTTTCTTGCTCCTTACCTTTGTCTGAATACTTAAGAAATTTAATCTGTCACCGGGAGGGTTTCCAGGTAGGGATGGCAGCTCTGGGGCCACGGACCAATTGCTGACACGTGGCCAGGAGGCCTGCATTCTAGACACAGTTTCGCCCACAAAACAGCTGTCACCTGACATCACATAACCTGTTTTCTTATCTGTGAGATAAGGAGGTTGGTCAAAACGGGTGCTTCTCAACCTTTTCTTTTCTTTTTTTCAGTTTTTTCCCTTAATGTATATATTTTATTTAAGTATAGTTGACTTACAATGCTTCAACGTGATTTGGTTGAACATATATTATTTTTTCAGATTATTTTCCATTACGGGTTACTATAAGATATTGACTATAGTTCTCTGTGCTATACAGTAAACCTTTGTTGTTTGTTGCATATCTATTTTTTTAAAATTAGAAATCTAGCATTCTATTCTTACTAAGTCAAAGATCCAGAACATCTATTCTTACTAAGTCTAAGATCCAGAGCATCACACATTCTTTATTTTTATTTGTGGATATCGTGCTTGACTGATTCTATAGCCCTTAGAAAATAAAATTTGATTTCTGCAAACTCATAGATACAAAGAACAGATGATTGCCAGAAGTGGGGGCCGGGGAACAAAATGGGTCAAGAAGTATAATTATAAAATACGTAAGTCCTGGGGATGTAATGTACAGCATTACATGTAGTTAACAATACTGTATTATGTATTTAGAGTTGCTAAGAGAATAGATCTTTAAAGTTCTCATCATAATAAAAGTAAAATTGTAACTATGTGAGGTGATGGATATATTGTGGCAATCGTTTTGCAGAATATGCATTTATCCATCCATTTGATATAAATGAATTTATTTACAAAAAAGAAACACTAACAGGTTTTGAAAACAAATTTATAGTTACCAAAGGGGAAACTTGGCAGGGAGAGGTAAATTAGGAGTTTGGGATTAACATATGTACCCTACCGTATGTAAAATAGATAACCAACAAGGATAGCATAGGGAACTCTGCTCAAATTTCTGTAATAACCTATATGAGAAAAGAATCTGAAAAAGAATGGGTGTTTGTATGACTGAATTACTTTACACCTGAAACTGACACAACACTGTAAATCAACTACACTCCAGTAAATCTTTTTAAGCTCACGTGGCACACCTTCAACTAATGCAATGTTACGCGTCAACTACATCTCAATAAAACTAGGAAACAGAAAAGAAATCTGGTTCCTGAGGAAAGGATATTTCTGTGAAGAAAAATAAAACAACCTTTTGGTTATCCTATATGGCCATAACAGAAATGACTATTTGATTTTCTTTAAACTTTTAACACATGAAAACCAGAATATAGAGCCCTCTTGAGACTTCCCTGGTGGCCTGGTGGTTAAGACTCCACACTCCCAATTCAGGGGCACGGAATCGACCCCTGGTTTGGGGACTGAGACTCCATGTGCCGCACAGCATGGCCAAAACCAACAAAAAGCCTTCTTAACTGCACTTGGGAGTCCAGGAACCCATGAAGGGAAGCATCAACAGAGTTCTTTTCTTATGACATTCTATGTAAAGGTCGTTATCACAGACTTCAAGCCTTTTTAAAAACTCCTACTAGGTGTGAACCCAATTTTGTTCATCTTCTGTTACTATTTGCTCTTCCATGACAGGCGGAAGTCTGGATTCCAGCAGCTAGTTGTGCAGAATAAGCTGAAGAAAGGCCAGTTGC